CTTTTTTATATATTTTCTATTATATTTTTTTTTTATAGAAAAAACTTTCATATCTCTTTTTTTTTATATCCACTTCCTAATGTATAGACAAATCTTTAAATTAATTTTGGTGAAAGATACAATAGACAAAATACCCATTAAAGACTTACATTTCAAAGTTCTACAACATGAACTTCCAGAAGTTGATCTCACTCAAGGCAGAGGTACTCCTGATAAGAATACTGTTTTTAAATCTGTAAGTCAATAATGCTTAGAAAAAGTTTATTGTTTATAACTTATACCCAATAAAACTAATACACATTTTACATATTTTGAAATAACATTTATATGTTACAGATAGGGAAATTATTAGATCGATTAAGTCAGAGACTTGAAAATCCTGGTTTGGATACAGAAACCGATAATTTACATAACACAACAATTACTGTATTACTTTACTATCTTGGGATGTTAGATATTGTTGATTTACGAAATGCATACACAAAAATTTCAGGAACAAGTTATAAAGAAGAAACAATACGGTGCTTAACAATTTTCAAAATTCTTTCAGTTTTAGAGGTTTATGTGATAAAATATGTATTACTAATTTCTTTTATATTATTGTAGGAATATGTTTCTTGAAACTCTTCCGCAAGTTGGTACAAAAGAAGCTGCATTATTCATATTAGAACTAATTCAAGATAAAAAGGTTTCCGATATGTCTGCAATTCAACTGCTTACTCAATTACCATTTCATATACGAAAACCTGATGTTCAATTACTAGTAAATCTACAAATATTTTTAAATTTACCAGAAAAAATTTCTGTTGAAGTTCAAAATACTGCTATTCTTACATATGGCACGTTAATCTATAAAACATGTTTACTGTATTGTCCATACGAAATATTAGATGATTATGTGCGTCTATATCTCGATAAATTTACAGGTATGTAATAAATATTACTTAAAAACTAATACCTCATACATGAATGTTTATTTAATTTTGCTTATTTTATAATGTTATTATAATAATAAATAATTCATAGAGACAAAGGAATATGAAAAGAAAATGATTTGGCTAGAAGGATTAGCAAATATACAGTTAGGAAGAGTAATTGAATTCTTAGAACCTATTGCAAGTGGCAATAATGCAGAATCACGTCATTTTCGCGTTCTTGCTGCTTGGGCATCGCTTCCAACTGCTCCTTTAAGACCCGATGTTGTGAGTCATTTTTATATAATATGACAAATTATTGAATATTATTGTTTTAATTTTTATTATAGATATATCCTGTCTACTGGCCGATTTTAATAAATAGAACAGAACACTTAGAAATGAGAGTAGCTGCATTGACATTACTTATTGTTTCTAGTCCTACTCCAAACAGATTAATATCATTATATTGGTATATGCAAAGTGAACCCAGCCAACACTTATATCATTATTTTTATACCATTTTAAAATCGATGGAACATACCACACACCCTTGTTATGTTCATATGTATGTAAAACTGCAATATAAAATTTTTTGTTCTTGTAGTCAAAAAATTCTAAAATACATTTTCTATATATTTTTTTAATGCATAGAGGTGTGATAGCTGCACAATTCACTAGAATACTTCGTCCAACAAAAAACAAATATTTAATTACTGGTAACTATCTGTTTGACTATCAAGACACATATAGAAAATTTGGCGTTATGATTCATGGTATTGTTATTGCTAATCCTTTAACAAACATACCTGAGGTTTTATATGTAACTGTAAATACTTATGGAAGTGGAGTCAATATCAATCATGTATCTGTAAGTATATATTTGTAAAATTATTTAATTTATGTTATTATAAGGTAGCACACTTTAATACTTTAAACATTATGTATATGTAGTTATATATTAAAGCTGAAGGTCTTCTACAATCATTGTCAACACATGTAGATGGTCCAACACAAGTAAAGGATATATTAAAACAATTTAAGTTAGACCAAAAGCAAAATGGACCTGTACATTTAGAAATAATTGCACGTATTCAAGAAAAAACAGTTTTATGTCTTCATCTTAACGAAACAAATATTATTAAAGGATTTAAATGTGAGTTCATAAATTATTTTTTCTGAAACTTTAGACACATACATTCAAATTAGATACATTCAAATATTTATTGTTTTTATATCTATAATTTGAAATAATTTTTTAGATCTTAACTCTTTACCTGATAATATATATCATATATATCAAAATATGGAGTTTCATGTTAACCAACAACGTATTAATGTTCCATTAACAATGGAATCAGTACAAGTCACAGATCTGGGAGCAAATGTCAGACTTGCCATTACTGCAACATCACTATTCTCAATGAGAGGAAATTTTACACGTGTTTCAATTGGTCGCAATAATCACGTTATATTACGGTATAAAAGAATGTATTATAATTGTATCTCTTTTTTTAGAATGTTGTATGCTATAAATTTGGTATTTCTAGAACATCTATTCACAAATCAGAAATAATTGAAAGTTATAATCCTTTAATCGATACATGGCATAGTGCAGAGAGAGCACATTCTATCCATGGATATCTTCCAGTCAATATTACACTTGGATTTGAAGATCGTCCATTTATTTCATACAATACTCCCGGAGGTATTATATTAGTAGTACCTAAATACAGGCTTAGTATGTGTTATACTATAACTATACTGTATTCTTGTAGAACATCTTAAAATGGGTATCACAGTTCATGTTAGAACATCTACTAATATAAAAGGATTAAACATTAAATCAAAATTACATCAAATTTGTCCAATTTGTCCACAATTATACATAGTTACAAAATCACCAACATATAAACCAAAGGTACAAAGTAATTAAATTTTATTTGATATAATTACATATATAAAAGTTCATTTATTTTTTCTTATAGACGATTGATGTATTTCAAATGGAATTAGTAGAATTAGGAGGTCAAATGTATGTAAAACTTTTTGACTGTGAGAATGTAATATCGCGAGAAAAACTAGTTCGAGATGTGTTTTCTTCACATCGAGCCAATTATCCGTGAGTCATATATCAATACCGCTTTATGTGTTTAGTTTTAAAAATTATTTGACAATAAGCACTACTAACTGTATTTTAATCTTGAATTGTTGTAGTATTTGGCCATTTCTGGAGTTTGCTTTAACAGCTCTTCATTTCTTAGATTACTGCACATATGTACCACCAAAAGGTAGTTGTGGTTTAGCTGCTTATATTAGCACAATTGATGCAGAGCGTACTCAAGTTAGTAAATTAAAGTTTTTTATATAGTCAATTTTAAATAAAATACTAAATTTAACATTGGACATGTTTTATTAGGTAAAGTTTGAATTCATTAAAAGTCCACATCATCATATGTTATCATTAACTCATAGCAATGCAGATTCATCACAAATCCTCCAACAGTGGAATCTAGCTGCACGTTATGATACTAGTTGGATATCTGATGTAGTTAAAATTAAAGCAACTAAAATTATACCAGGTCAAAAGGTTTTAAAGGTAAATTATACCCAGTATTATGATTAAAAAAAAATATTTAGGTAATATAACATTCTTTACTCTTTAGTTTTGTTTAGAAGCAGGAAAACAAGTACCCTGGGAATGGAATTTTTTGAGTACTAAACCAAGTGATCCTGCTAGTATTACATTAACTGCTGTTTGGGGATACTCTGATACAGCAAAAGGCCAATGCAGTGGATCTTCAATTACATTAAATTTACTTGGTGAAATTAGTCAAGATCAATTAGAAAATGCTAAAGAACGAAAATGGCCTTATGAAGAATGTCGAAAACAATCTAAAGGAAAACGTTTTACACCATTTTCTGATGCTTGTTATGAAGCTTCAAGGGAATTATCAACTTTGAGAAAATATCAAGTTATTGCACAACACGAAAATGTAAGTTTAATATTAAGTTACTAATAAATTTATGATGTTTCATTTTACATATATATTTGTTTAACAAGATATATATGTATTTTAATTTAAATTATGTAATTGTAATTAGATACCAGAAGAATTAGTGAGATTAGCCTGGAAATTTCGAGCTTTTTATGATTTAATTGGTGGAAATAGTAGTTCTAATTCTTTTCATAAGGAATTCATTGTGGCAGCAACATTTCCAAAAGAATCAGATAGTGGTGAATTAGCACTTAATAACGATAAAGTAGTTATTGAATATAATTATAATCTCATAGATTATTTTTTAACTAGAACTAGAATTCATAAATACATGGATTTATCAATTCTAAAAACGTTTTTTGGTAAGCTATTCTCCTTCATTTGTAATTGATAAATTTTTAGAGAAATAGTTAATTGTTTGTACCTGCAGAATTCATTCTATTTGGTTACAGTACCTTACCTGTCTTAATCACTTCCAAATTTAGGCACATGTATTGTGACACCAGAGTATATACGATCGATTCACAACGTAACTTACCCGTTTCGTAACAATCATGAGGTTTTGTTACTGGGCGAGTGTTATAATGAGAATCCAAAATATGCATTCACAGCACGAAATGATGTATATGGTGTTAAAGTTGACATATATGATGAAATAGATACAGTACGAATTGTACCTAATGAGCATGGAGGAACATTATACAATAATACAATACATATTCCATTACCACAAAGCTTTATGTTTCATACATTGGGTTCTAAAAGGTGATTAAAAAATTAGAAATATTTTTAAACTAAAAGAGCAGTTTTCCTAATATTTTATGTATATTATCTTTTATCTTGTATATATACAGTCACGATTAAATGTTTCACTTACATATTTTAACAAAGTTTTTATGTTTCAGAGTAAGGTTGGATAGTAATACCATTGATATAATAATGTATCCTAATCTCTATTTGTACATGCATTGGACACAAGAACAAATTCTTCTCCTCTTTCCAACTTATCTATTAGAATTTGGTTGCGGTATATGTACACTACGCACTCCTGACACTAATAATTTGTATGAAAAAGTATAATAGGTATATTTGTTAAAACTAACGTTCGCTTCTAATAAATATGTAACTTTAGCTTAAGAGAATTTATTACAGAATTGAATAATTGGAATGTGTACAAATTTTGAATGTTTCTATTTACAAATATACTTGTTTTATATGTAAGTTTATAGTTACTTCCATTATAACACGCATTTTTTATGAGATATAACCAATATAACATCAATGAATAATCTACCTATTAATTAAAAATAGAAATAATTGTTTTATTAACGTTCTTAAGCATTATACGGTTATCCATATATGTAGAACAAAGTACCTTTCTTTAAAAAGATTTATTTTCCTGTGATAAAATTCTTTGATAAATACAACAGTGTATCTGTAATATGCAGTTGCACTTAAATGGAATTATATACTTTCAATGTTAAGTTTCTGAATATGTAAAACAAGGAAGAAATAATGCGTGAAATGTTTGCAATAATCTGCAGGTACGATTTACAAAATTAAATTTTTATTTAATAAAGAAAGTTCAAAACGGCAGTGCAAGTAGAAGAACATAAATATAATTTTAATATTTAAATAAATACTAGAAAAAAGTTTTTGTTTTATCCACCTAATTCTACATTAACCTAATTAATACAAATCATAAAAGAACATACTAGAACCTTTCATTACACTTATGCATTTTTAAGGCATATATCTAAATGCTGATTCATTAGAGATTCTGCTATTAATTGCATACAAACAGGACAAGGATATTTAGTGTTCTGATTAATCGACACTTCTGAAACAAGTTTTGGCGTTTCATCATTATCACAGTTAAATGATAAATCTGAATCACAGTTAAAAACGTTCCCAATACACTCTTCTAAGTGATCATTCAATGACATCCCAGGCAGAATGAATTCATTACAAACTAAACAATTATGTGAGGTAGTATTAATTACATTGTTTTCCTGAAACTTTCCAGTAGGGCAAAGATCTTCCGAATTTTCGCTAGTTGAAGAAGAGGATGAATTATTACTGGACATACTACTAATGGAAATTGTACTTTCATTTACACTTTCATTTTTATAATTTGTATCATTCAATGTAATAATAGAATTATCATCTTGTTCGTGTGTTCGTGAAAGGCACTTATCAATATGCTCATTTATATCCACAAGATCAAAACTTGTATTACAAATGGGACAATTTCCTTTTTTAGAATTTTGCAATTCATTTAATTTTGGTTGCTTAGTTGAAAATGTATTTGTATTATTTTTTCTTTTCTGTGCAAATGGGGAAGTATGTGTTTTTACTTTTACTTTGGGAGAATTAACATTATAGTTTTTCATTGTAATTTCTCTTTCAGTTTTATCTGTCTTTTCATTTCCTGTTATTAAACAAGAATCTATATGTTTATTTATATCATCATTTAATACAAGGTTACTACATATTGGACATTCCACAAGTTTTACTTGTGCTTCAACAACAGTTTTTACACTACTAGTTAATGTTTCATTGAAACAATGATTTTTATTACTATTATATAATTTGTTTAGCAAATTACTTCGTCCTGTATTAGAACCACCAAGAACTCCAGAAGAGGAATATTTAGATGTAGTAGTAGGTGTACTAGTACTGGGGTTACTATGGTTTTGTGAATTACTTGAACCATTTGGTCCTCCTATACCCCAACCATGAACATTGTTTGTATTATTTCCAAGTTTTTTAAGTCCATTCAAAGAATTGTTGTTATTTAAAACTGATTTGATATTCTTGGGGGTGGATGTAGATGTAGCTTCAATAATAGGTGGAATAGGCTTTGTAAGCCAATTAGATATATTATACCCTGAGTTACCATTTTTGGGAGAAGGTTTCACTTTCTCTTTATTTTTTGAAGCTTTTGCTTTAAAATTTTCTGGTTCTTTAATTTTAATAAATTGGCCACTGCAAGATTGTTGATGTTCTTTCCACCAAAAATCATTTGGACCTGGTGCACGATTCATAGCTCTACGCACTGTTCCAAAATATGGAGCTTTTTTTTGACAAGGGCCATTACACCTCCACCAATGTTGTTTGTATAATCTAACTTCTTCATGAAAACTGTGATATATCTAAATACAAAAATATTTAAAAAATGTAAAAAGCAGCATATTACAGGATTTATTTTATTATAGATACATACAGTTATTTTTGTTCCAGCTATTTTATTTATTCTATCCATATGTTTACAAAACTCTGGGCCATGACCATCTCTATCACGATTATTATTTGTGAGAAACAAGTATCCATGAATCATTTCATGCTATAATATATATTCATGTATTAAAAGTTAATAATTATCATCAGTAATTTATAACTCTTATTGCATTAACTATAATTATATTAAAAGAAACTTACCAATAGAGTTTCAATTAGATCTTTCCTTGGTCTAAGTTTTAATAATGGTGCACTAAGTGAAATTACACATTGTCGATTTCTAGGATGGAAACTACATATACCAGCACAACTACATTATATAAAAACAAATATATTGTAATTATAGTGTTAATATAATTGATATGATTTAAAATTCTTTAAATAATGTAAATTATTTACCTTGTCATTCTAGGACTCCATTTAACTTCAACAGGAAGTAGAACATTCCAAAAAAAACGTTCATTAAATTGTACAAATAATGTATGAATATTGGGAGTTGGATCAATTAATTCTAAGCTTTGATCAATTAATGTTCTTGGTTGATAATTTTCTTTATCCTTCTAAATCCAAAACCATGATTTTGTTGATACAGTTTATAATTCAAATCACGATCACGAGATTTTTGTGATTTGATCATAATCTACAAATGTTAATAATCTTTTACGAATATGTATATAAGGCAAAATTTTTAGTTAATCATATGCTTATTTTATGTAACGAACTATTAATTCAAAGTCATTTAAATTCACGTCTATATAACCTGTTCGGAATTTGTAAATTTGGAAACAGTGCTACCACTAGTGAAAAATGTTATATTAATATTTAAAATTCACGTATGTCACAAGAAAACGCAGAAAAGATATCCATTCTTCTGAATCATCTAGTTTGTGGTCTACATCTTTCGTCATGCCACACGTCAGCACAGTGCGCCCTCTACTTATGTTCTCGTATTTGTATATATGATGTGGATGAAAGATTGGCTTATGTAAAAATTGTATTAGGTTAATCGTACAGCATATAACGTATCAAAATAATTCATCGAAATGGTAAGCGTTGATTTAGCATTGAATTCATCTCATTGACAGTAGACGCCAATCTTAAAACATATTTATGACATGATCGTTATAGTAAAAACTGCCACAGATGTCAATCACCGCTTATGGTTAATACTGAATATACAAAAAAATAAAAATGCATTGCACCATCAAATTATTTTTTATTGTTTCAGGTACTTATTGCTGCAGCAGTCTGCACAAAAGCAGGCAAAAGTAAGTATCACTTATTTTCTTTGGTCGCACCTGTACGAGCATGTATGTGTTACATATCTTAATATCACACATGATTACCCGTTTAATTGTCAAACAAGTAGAATCTTTTTTCCGTTTTGTACATCAATTCATTTATATCTTACCTTACTTAATTATATACTAAATAATAATCTAATCATTTTCCTCAATTTTATTTAAAATATTTGAACTTTATGATCTTAGTTGAAACATGTGTTATATTTTTTTATCGATTTTTTTATCATTTATCAATTTAAACTATTTATGATTTAAAGTTAAGAAAGAAAATTTAATAATCAATAAAAAATTTTAGCTATTATTTCTCGTCAGTTTGTTGAAATGACAAAGGCAAGAATAGAAGGATTACTTGCTGCATTTCCAAAATTAATGAGTTCTGGCAAACAGCACACATTTGTAGAAACAGAATCTGTGAGATATGTTTATCAACCTTTGGAAAAAGTATATATGCTATTAATTACAACAAAAGCAAGTAATATATTAGAAGATTTAGAAACATTAAGACTCTTTGCAAGAGTTGTAAGTATACCATAAATATAAAAATAATAATTGCTTTAAATTTGATATGTGCATATGATTTTTAACTATAATTTCTACAAACTTGATTAACAAATGTAAACTATGAATTTCTTAGATTCCAGAGTACTGCAATTCAATGGATGAACTTGAAATAGCTGAAAATGCATTCAATTTGATATTTGCATTTGATGAAATAGTTGCATTAGGATATAGGGAAAGTGTTAATTTAGCACAGATCAGAACATTTGTGGAAATGGATTCACACGAAGAAAAAGTTTATCAAGCTGTAAGAATGACTCAAGAGAGAGAGGCCAGAAATAAAATGCGTGAAAAAGCAAAGGAATTGCAAAGACAACGAATGGAAGCAGTAAAGAAAAGTGGTCCTAAAAGTCCTGGATTTGGTAATTCTTATGCAAGCAGTGGTAACTTTACACCAACTCCTAGTGTGGGAGATACTGCTAATTTTGTACCAGAACCAGTTAGACCTTCATATACACCAACACAGTAAGAAATAGCATAACATAAACATAATATTACTGAAAATTATATTACAAAGGTATGTTTAATGTGTTGATAGGAAACCTGTTAATGCTGGACCAGGTGCAATGAAATTAGGAGGGAAATCTCACGATGTTGATTCATTTGTTGATCAACTGAAAGAGGAAGGAGAAAATGTTGTAACAACACCTTTACCTGCAGCAGGTACAAAACCAACATCAATTGCACCACAAATAATCAATACTGAACCGTAAGATATTAATTTGTTTAATTGATATAGATACCAATAGTAGACGTTATGTTAATATTTCTTTCATTTTAAGAGTCCATCTACGACAGGAAGAACGTCTTAATGTACGAATTGGTCGAGATGGTGGTTTGCAACATTTTGAATTACACGGTTTAGTGACATTACACATTTCGGATGAGAAATGGGGTCGAATTCGTGTACAATTAGAAAACAGAGATTCAAGAGGAATTCAATTACAAACACATCCTAATGTAGATAAGGAATTATTCAGAACACGTGGTCAAATAGGTTTAAAAATTCCTACAAAACCATTTCCATTAAATACTGATGTTGGTGTATTAAAATGGCGATTACAAGCTCAAGATGAAACAGCATTACCTATTTCAAGTAGGAATTATTTATATTTATTATAATTCTAATCAAAATTACAATAAATTTTAAATGGTCATTTTAATATGTAATATAATAGATGACAAAGATCTTTTTCACTATTTAAAATAGTCAATTGCTGGCCATCTGACAATGGGGAAGGCGGATGCGATGTGAATATAGAGTATGAATTAGAACAGGTTAATCTCGAACTAAATGATGTTCAAATAAACATTCCATTTCCTATGGGATGCAATCCCATAGTAAACGAATGTGATGGACAACATGAAATACGGCGAAATACACTTCTGTGGTCTTTACCGGTGGTTGATGCAACAACAAAGTCAGGTTCAATGGAATTCTCAGCACCATTATGTACTCCTGCTGATTTCTTCCCTCTTGTCGTTTCATTTTCATCTAAGACATCATATGTCAATATTAAGGTATGTTATATTTTATTTATATAGAACTTGCCAAGAAAAAATTTATGATTTCAATGAAAATGGAAATTTATGATTAAATGTTAATACATTTATCAAATTAAATGAGGTTTTATTTTTGATAGGTAACTGAAGTTTTGCTTGTAGAAGATGAAAGTCCGGTTAAGTATTCGGTAGAGACAGTTTTCTTTACTGACAATTATGAAGTGGTATAAAAGTACCCATCAAAAGATAAGTTAACTAGTTGCGTTAACTACTAAGAATGTTCAAAAATACGGAATTAAGCATTGTCCATTGGAGTATCAAAGATAAAGATTTTCAACTTTATCAGTATTCAAGTTATGATTTTATTGCCACACAACCACTATTTTTACCAATGGCTGGATGCTTGAATGCATTTCAAGCAATGTATTTACACACTCTATAAACAATTTGTTCAATTTAGTATATGTCTAATGTTGAACTATTAAAAGACGTTGTATACAGATATTTTACTGTTGGTAAAGAAGAAATACTGAAAGTTTTCCCACATTTTATAAATTACACTTACTACTAATATACAGCAATACATGCATTAACTTTATTTAAATTTTTTCAAATTATTTCTTTATAAGTTTTGTACAGTTACAAAACTTTTTAGTAAAAGAGAAAGTGACGTACGATTATAAGTAAATATAGAAATATTTTTTCGTATAGTATGTATGTATATACACACATACATACATACGTATATACATCAGCATTATAATAAACACAAAAAAAGTATATATAATCTGTAATCGTGTTTTTTTTAAAGAAACATTAATTTAGTTCTACAATT